TCAATCCTTAACACAGAACGATAAGTAATGAGTAAAAGTGTAGAAAGAAGTGGAAGAAAGAATTTAAACAACAAAACAAAATAAGATCGGAACAAGTCAAACCTATATACATATATAAAAGATCCTTTCCAGAACCTGGAAGTCACAAGTACAGAGTTGTTTTAACAAAAGAGAAGTCCCAAAAATGGACCAAAAATAAACTTGTCTCAACATACAAAAGACTAGTTATACAGTATACTGAAGGAGACATGCAAGTCTAGGACGTCAAGTGCTCACCTTCGCCTCCGATCTAAAAGGTGATGTTGCACGAACGATCACCACTGGTAGGTGGTACTATACCTGTATCACAAAACAAATGCAGAGTGTAGCATGAGTACCAAAGCAAAGGTATCCGGTAGGCATCACAGGTCGACTAAGCAATGACGGTAAAGACAATATGAAAAGATAGAATCTAGACACAAACAAAGGTCAAATCAGAATTTTAAAGAAAGCAGACGAGCGTAACAGAAACAAAGACTAAGTATAGCTAAACTATACCTAACAAGACCCCCATAAACCCAGAAGGTACACTCATGCGCAAGTTTAAGTATAACCCGAACAAAACCCCATAAACCTGACTGGTACACATAAGCGTGAAGTAAAATGAATCCAGATCCAATAATGGTAAGTCGGGCCTCGAGCCCCAAGTAACCACCTCAAACCATAAGCACCCAATAATTGGGCCATCCAGCCAGACAATAGCCTCCCAGGGGCACTAGCCTAGCTAGCAAGAGTAAACTCGGGGAGCCGCCCTGCCAGACAGTAAACTCCCAGGGGTACCAACCTAGCTAGCAAGAGTAACCAAGGGGCACTAATAAGACCATCGCCCAACCAAATAGTAAACTCCGAAGCGCACTAGCCCAGGTAGCAAGAGTAAACCCGGGGACACCAATAAGACCATCGCCTAGCCAGACAATAAACTCCCAAGGACATCAGCCAAGCTAGCAAGACTAAACCCGGGGGCACCAATAAGAACATCGAAGTACCACATATCATCTATCATCCAAACGTAAGTGAAATGAAGTCCAACACAAGAAATCGACAAAAGGCTCCCAGACTGTGCCACTCCAATCCCGAGTCGCCCAATGAAGCATGAAAACCTTTAGTATTACAACAGGCTCGTAGAAATAGGGATAGTGAATAGAAGCTCGACAAAACTGAATCAACGCCTACACTAAGGCTCATTATATCAGACTCAAGTCTGCTACTCCAGTTTACAAAGAGCTAAACCATTTGAAACGACGTCAGAGAAAAAATAAGGCCTAAAGGTTACAAGTATCGCAGGTCTAAGGTAAAAACTAGTCTAATCCTAGACTAAGGTCAAGCATGCTCAATTATACCATAACAACAACATACAAGTCAACTCACTAAATAGAATTAAACACATAAATCTCGACTAGCGTGGCAATAAACCTGAAATATAGCAATTCAAGTCCAAAAACATGGTATCTAGGAAAGGAAATAAGAACAACTAGGTACCCACCCAAATTCAATCTAATCAACATGTAATTACACATTCAAGCTCAATCTAAGAGAATGGAAGATGTAGCCTACCTTTAGGTCGACTGTGTGCGCTCCAAATCACAATGTTGGAGCATTTCCCTTTCGAACGGCCTTAGAACGCTACTATGCTATCAAAAATAGGATCATAATGTCAATATAGTCGTTTCAACACCAAAAACACATAAAACATAAACGAGCTAATTTTGGAGTCAAATGGGAATCGTGGGACCCGCACTAGAATTTCTAGAATTGACTCCGTCAAAAGGTATAAAACATTACCTTAAACTTGTGCTCCAAAATGGAACACCATTCGGGGCTCAGAGTAGTCAAGAAAACCAACATGCAACAATTCAAAATTTAGAGATAAAAAATAAGCCATGGAAGCCTAAACAACTCAAATGTACCTCAAACAAATAGTCTATAACTGTTTCCAACTAGCCACACACCTAGCCTCAACAACTCCGGATGCATAGGACTTCAAATTACCAAACATGGAGTTAAATTGAGAGAAGAATCACTGATGGAAGTTGGGAAGGGCCCACGAACATGGAGAACAAGAAGTTTACCCTTCGCGAATGCGACAAGGATCATGTGAATGTAAAGGCAAGAAGAAGGTCATGAGACCTAACCCTTCGCGAACTCGGCCTAGACCCCGCAAATACGGTGACCAACTCTCCTAGTCTCTGTGAATGCGGCCCAAGGCACGCATATGCGTAGACCAAATTTGTCTTGCACTGGGTGTTCTGAATTCGTTCAAAACCACATGTACGCAAACGAGATATTCTACCCTACCAAATTTGATATTTCAGACTCAACGGAATAGTCACAATTTTCATACAATTAGGTCATCTCGATAAAAAGTGGGTCCCACATAAAAACTCCATTTTAAGCCAATATCCACATGAGGGCTCAGAATTAGCCCGAGAGCCTCGAGTTTCACATGAAGGGTCATTGTAGACCAATCACGACATTCCAAAGCTTACCACGTAGAAGGAATTCTCATCCGGGCATATTTACCAAGAATATTGACCAAGGTTTAAAAGCCACTTAATCATACAATATTTTACAGCTAACCACACTGATGGAATTCTCATTCGGACACGTTTATGAAGAATGTTGACCATTGTCAAACTTTAGAAAGTTAAAATGCCTAATCGTACAAACTCGCACTGAAAGCCTTGTTAGCCTTGTTAGCCGTGCCAACCATGCTGCTAGCCTAAAATGCCCTTTGTGGAGCTGATGAAATTGTCAGAATTGGATTCTGAGGTCATCTTTCTGAACTTTTGATCGAAAATGACTGTTTAAGGTTTAAAAGCTCCTGAACATAGAAATTCATATAAAAACCAAACAAATGACTAGGTGACCGAACTGGTAGTCTCAACAAGTCATAAATGATTTGAGGTCACTATAAGAATGTTAAAAATGATGAATAGATGATAAGCACAAAAATGACCTAGAGGATCATTACAATACTAATATTGATTCATTATAAAAGAAATAAAAAGGTAATTATTTTCCTGGACAATGCACCGGAAAGTTGTGCTACTTGAAGGGGTGGAAAAGGTAGTCTCAATTCTGACCCGATGAAATATTTTGCTTGTTGTTTTTAGACAATATTAATTTTTCCTTCTATTTTGTTTTCTACTTGAATATTTCTTTTATTTTTAGTTGCCTCAACCCTTAATAGCCAAGATTTGTAAAAATGTGATAGTGTAGAAAAATTAGTGATGATAGTTGTTCTGAGTGATGAAAAATGGAAGGATCATAATTTCATTAACAAATTGATTCGATTGGAAATATTTAATTATTTTTTCTTTCATTGATTAATGTAGTTTGTGTTTGATAGCATGTCATTACATTGTCAACTAGTAAAACAAATAAAATAAATCATAGGAGAATCGTGTGTTCTCAATTGATTAGTTTCTTTCATTGATATCAGAGCCTATGGTTTATTATTTCCTAGTCACAATCTTCTTCCTCAAAAATCAATATTGCAGGAGACGTATTTATTACTTGTTGATTTATACGAAACAACACAATAAATTAAGTTGTTGTTGAAGCATGACTTTTTTGGCTTTGATTGTTATCTAACATGTGTAGTTTACTGAATTAAGAGAAAATTAGTTTTAATTATTTAGTTTAGTGATTCAAATTATTCCTGGATCTATTAAAAAATAAGAAACAAATGAGACCATTGAAAGAAGGCACTGATTATTTTTACATAGTCTATGTGACATTATTTTCTATAAGTTGGTGTATTTGCATGATATATAGAAGAACAAAAGGCTCTTAAGGCTTTAGATGTGTCTATGATACCTCAGAAAACATCTTCTGTGTTTTTTGACATATATGAGATAAAATGCTGATTATTCTTACGATGATTTTAATATATTAGAATATTATTTACAATTTTAATAATAATATTTATTTGTGATTTTTTTTGTGTGAAGCGTTAGTGCAAATATACGGCATGCAATATTTGTCCTTAGTGATTAACAACAAAAGAGTCGTTTATCCAAACAAGGTTAACTTGGTGAAATAGATGATTAATATCTCCTTTATTAATATTTTCTAGCTAAAAATAAATAGAAAACCATTTGAAAAACTTAACTTGTTGATGCTCCATTGCAATTTATTTCATCTAAAATCAATGTTCAAAGCATGACGGACCGGGTCAAATTGAGATACAAATTAATGCATTTTTTTAAAGTAATCTAATGTTATTCCATGAGTTGTGGAAAAAACAAAATTTAATTTGAGTATTTTTTCTAACTCTTCGGTTTGTGCCACTTTTGTTCATGACCTTTTTCTCCACATGCAAAATTGGATCCAAGGGGAAGGACATGTATCTTTCTATGATGTTTCGAAAAGTTCAGGGGGTTATGCTCTCATAGGTACAATTTTAGACTATGCATTTATAATGTAATTTGTGTTTGATAGCATCTAATTGCTTTGTCGATTAGTAAAACAAATAGAATGGATCTTGGGAGAATGGTGTGTGCATGATTAATTTTCTTTTTCAACTTCTTATTTTACTTTTATTTTTATTAGCTTATTATAGCTTTATACTACATATCAAAATTCAATCTATTTTCTGCATGGACTTTTGATTTTTTCCCCTTTGTTAGTTGCTTTACATTTAAAGTTATATTTTTTTAAATATATTGTGTGTACAATATCACGTTGGATATTCACCTACGACACTAAACTACATGGGTCTATTCTTGAAATACAAATGTAGTCGAAAGATCGAAAAACGGAGTTGGACAATCAAACTGAATCTTAAAAAATTTCTTAGTGTTACATCGTTTATTTTTGACATTTTAATATGCCTTCCACCATTTCATCCATTATTTTTATTAGTATTATTTTATAAAACTTAAACTTCTAGTTGATATTTTCTAATACTTTGTAGGATTTAGAAGTTGTTGTGGAAATATATTTTGCATAAGGAAAAGATGGAAGCATGTTTTGATGAGCGCGAAAAGGACTGCCCATTGATTAATGGAAAGAGGGTTCTTTCATTCTTTACAGTAATGATTGAAGAAGGTTTCTTAGAAGTTCTGGTAAAGTGTGGTTCTTAGAAGGTTTCCTCAACTTAGTTTAAACTAACTATCTACTTGTTGATGTGAAATTTTGAGCATACCCAATATTTTTTTTTCTCCCCTAGAAAACCTTTCAAACACCTTATTTAAAGCAACCCTATACACACAATAACATTGTGATATTAAAACCCATCCTTACTTGCCTTTTAAGCTCTGTAAAAGCAGATTCATGTGAACTCAGAAAGCCACAGGTTTCTTCTCAGCTATGATAACCAACTCTTAAGAAATTGAGTCAGTGGCGTACCCACGTGTAGGGAAGGGTGTCCAATCGAATATTCCTTGATGATAAATTATACTATATAAATAGAAAATTATATGAATTATATAGGTCAAAAATTATTTTTCATACGTATAGACTAAATCTTAAATACTCTTAACGGATTTTTTTTATTTCACTTATAGGACTATATTATATTTTAAAGAAGAAGAATTTTCTACAAGTTAACGATATGAGAGTTGTTGACAAGAATTTTCTACAAGTTAACGATATGAGAGTTGTTGACAAGAATTTTCTACAAGTTAAATGACAAAGTGTGCACGAATATATTGCTTAATAGAGGGTGGGGGTTGGAAAAATTCCTAATTACAATAAGGTTTGTTTCTTTCATGATTTTGTTTGGCCTCATGATCACTATCCTGTTTTAAAAGGCCACTTTTTTTCAATTTTCAAAGAGCTTAAAACAAGATGAAATGTTTCATGTTTGTAAAATTAAGAAAGAAAAAAATGTTTATAAAATTTGTATTATAAACAATTGTACCACCCAAAATCCAAAAGACTTCCAAGGATATAGTCGTAAACTTGTTGTTTTATATATCAATATGTGGTATTTCTTAGTTTTAATTTAAGCAAAAAAAATTCAGTTTTTTCCTCCGAAGTTTGCTGAATTAGTTTCACATCTGATTGATCGAGAAATCAATCTGGAGGACTCATGTGGACTATTATGGAGGGTAACAGTGTCTAATCATAATGGTACACTTGCTCTTAAACAAGGATGGCCGGAGTTTTCATCAAAACATGATGTGAAAGTGGGCGAATTCATAGTGTTTCACTATGTTCCGAGTGATGAACACTTCATTGTTCAAATATTTGGAACAAGCGATTGTGAAAAGAGGACTTATCCAAAAGCAATTAGCATGGTGGTTGAGTTGCATCAAATAAAATATAATCATGGGAAACCAACAGAGGACAATCATGGTAAATCACAGCTTGGTATGTTTTCTGTTCACAACAAATTAATTGGTAGGATTTTTTTTATTTATGTTGTGTTGTCTTAAACATTCTGTGATTTGGCTGCCTTTCAGCATTTTCTTACTGTTATTTTGTGTTGTTGTTATGTAATGAAAAAGTCGTCGAAAGTGAGCCTGCTGATTCAAGAGACACATCATCCCTTAACGCAGTCAACTATTCATGTTTGGTAGATGTTGATGATCGGAATTTTCTGGTAACAACTTATTTAAATATCATTCCTTCTGTCATTTTGGTGGATTGTAATATTCTTGATGTTTGATGGATTCTCTATGAATATTTATCAATCTACATTGCTTGAGTTTCAATATGTTTCAAGCTTAACGCCTTTGAAGCAGGATATGCCAACGATGACAATGTTTCTTTAAATCTAAAGAGAATGACTATGTTTTCTAATTGAGGATGTCCTTGAATAATTGTGAGGTTTGATTTTCTCGAAATAGATGAATCAATTCGTTAGTTAGACCTCTCTTTATCATACTTATTTTTAATCAAAGCAATTAACTGGTTTCCATTAGCTCTTAATTAAGTGTGCAGACATTTTGTTGCCAATAAGAAATATTGCTTCTTCGATTTATAATCTAAAGAGGAAAATTTCATTTAGAAGCATTAATTTTCTTGTAAGCTAAATCAACGTTTTCATTGTTTTTTTAAGAGTTCTTTTATCACTTAAACTTACATTACATTGATATTATTGAGTTTCAGTTTATTCTCTTCTTGTGTGATTTTAGGCAAGCATGTTGCTTAAAAAATCAACTCAGCTCTACTTGGCTAAAATTTTCTTTATTTCCTAGTTTGTGTATTTCTCGTTGAATCTAAACCGCCTTTATGTCTGTGCAGAAATTATCAGAATCCTGGCAAAAATATTTACCCAAAAGAGAAAAAATTGGAAGGTGGATTGTTTTTCTTCGAGGGCCAGATAAAAAAATTTGGCCTACCTATTATCATAGCAGATCAAAGTTTGAAGTTTTGACAAGTGGATGGGAGAAAGTTACTAGAGCTTATGGCATGAATGCGGGAGATAAATGTCTTTTTCAACTTGTAGATCAGCAGAGACATCTATTTGATGTACGCAAAATATGAAAGTCCATAAGTAAGATAGCAAATGAACTATTTGGAGTTGATTACCTTAAGCAGTTACAAGAGGAATGAAACATAACAGGAGCTATGCCAGTTTTTCATTTATGATTTTTTTACCAACATTTAATTATTGTCGGATACATTTCTTATGTTTAGTTTGGGTTGTACCCATTTTCGTAGACTTGTTGAACTTTAGATGTTTTGGTACATTGACTTTCAGGTTCTAGGCATTATTTCCGCAATTGTTTTGTTAGACTTCGGAGTTTGTGGAAACTCCCTATTTTTCCTTTAGACATTTAAATATGCTTTCGTATCTTTAAATGGTTTAGTTTTTGTTAATTTGGTTAGTTGGGTTGTAGTAACGGTTCTCCCACCGGAGGGTTAGTGTGGGTTCCACTCACGACGGTCTGGGTCGTGACAAGAATATTGTATATGATGCTACCTGATAAGAGAGATTGCTCGGATGGTAAGCACCCTCCACCGTCAACTCTAAGGTTTGATTTGAATCACAATTTTTTTATTAATTCCTAGATAGTCATTATAGAACAAAAAGTTATAAAATTCATGTTCTTAAGGTATCCGGTGAGTTGTTTTTAGTGAATTAGTACAATTAGTAGCCAGGAAAGTATGTGTTCCGCTTGAAAATAAAAAGAGAAGGGACCTGTAAGTGTTCATCATAATATACCAACAACTTCTAAAAAGTCATACTTTCCTTTGAATCAGTCGCAGTAATAGCACTGACATGAGTTTATGAAATATTTAAAAAATTAAATTATATTGTTGTTTATTTCATATCACTATTTTGTACTGAAATTTGAGGAGTACTCTAGAGCAGAAATAAATTGCTATCTCATCATAACTCCTTCTGAAATGCGTCACAATTTGATTCATAGGACTTGATTTGATTTTCTCCCCTAGATCAAGGCCGACATTCCAAGTCTATGGATCTATTCCATTTTTCTAAACTTCGTGATAATATATACATAAACGCTTAACTTCAGACAAAATATATTTGAAAGATACTTGTTTCATTATAGATACTAGTATACGTGCCCGTGCGTTGCGCGAATATTTTAAATTTTACAATATAATAATTTTTAAATTTATGAATAACTAAATACGAATTATTATTGAGTAACAAAAGTGCATGTATAATCATCTATAATGTGTTAATTTTACATATACAAATAATGCTAACAAATTTTTACCCTAATTTATGTGTAATAAGGGTATGTTCATCAAAGACTCTAGTATGATGAAGATTAATAGCATATGTCGCGTGTTTTGAATTGGTATTTGTGTTAATTAATTAAATTTTAAGTTCATAAATCAATCTAAAACCTAGTATAAAAAATATTAACTCTACTTTTAGCTAAAATGTAAATATAATTTACAAAGCATGTTTCAACCTCTTTAGCACACCTTCTATCGTTTTATCCTGCAAATTAGGATGTACAAAATAATGAATTTAATCTATCAATAAAAAAAAATACTATAATCAAATTAACCACATAAAAATAAATTATCAAATTAATCCTATAAAAATAAATTATTTGCATAGCAAAACAAAAAATTATACCCGCGCATTGCGCGAATATTTTTAAATGTTATTATATATATATATATATATATATATATATATATATATATTAAATGTTTCGCACTCTCACAAATTTTTTTGTTCAATTTCTCTGTTCTTTTTATCACTCTGTTTCATCTTGATTTGTAAAAGCAATAGATGAAACATATATTTCTCAACAACTAAAACTTTGAAAACTCCTACAATTACGACAAAGTGTGATAAAGTGAAGAAGTTGTAACCATCTCCAAAACTGTAAGTGTTAACTTAAATTTTGAATCTTTATCTTGTTAAACTAATCAACCACTCTTAATTCAAAATTTAAATAATTCGATTTATTTTTATTAAGAAAAAGACAATTACTAATTAAACAAATTATTAATAATAAATTCAAGCAATTACTTAAATTTGAAATATTTTAAAAAAAATTTCCAACAATTGAACTTAAATAAAATAAAATAAAATATTTAAGCATTATTTATCTAAACAAAACATGAGCAAAAACAAATAAAAAAATTAAAGAAAGAAGAAAAAAAGTCCTAGAAAGACTATCCCATTTTCCACGAAGAATCCAATTTATTATATTTATTATTTTATTTTTTGATGATCAATTTTTCAACTGATTTTTTTTTTCAAAACAGAAATATTAAAATTAAATCTGTTATATAATTTTAATTATTTATTTTTGTGATTTTAAAAAAAAATTGTTTAAGATAATTACTGATAATAAAAGGTTATCAATACATTCTTTTTATTGATTATAGGACTATGTAGTATTGAATGGATAATGGAGAGTTATGAAACTGCTTTATGTGAACTTGTTTTTTTTTATCAATGTAAGAATTATATAAAAGACTTTTAAAACTAATATTAATCAAAATTAGACTAAAACATATAATTATGCATAAGCTAATCTATCTCAAACTGCTTTTGTTTTTTTATGCATAGTTTGTTTAAATTAGATTTATTATATTTAATAAATTCATTTTTTTAGTATCTACTGTTTAGAAAAAAATATATATGATTTTGACATGTAATGCAATATTAAAATATTAAATATGTCTTTTTTGTATGTTGACATTTCTCATTAGTTAACTTGGTTTATTACATGTGTCTCTCTGTAATAAGCTAATTGAATTTACACTATTATTATTTTATTCAAAATAGGAATTTAAAATTTGAAATAAAATTAAAAATTATTACTAACTTGAAAACCCCATTATTAAGCCTAAAATAATTTTAAAAATTGTATATAAACAAAAAAATGTGACATTTAAAAATAATAAAAGTTACTCATATTTTTGGCTTTAATTATTCCATTTGAATTTAAAAATATTAGGCTTTTAAAATAAAAAAATTGACGGTCATATATATATATACTAGTTTGCCTTAATCATCTCAACAAAACAGTTATAAAAACGTTTTTCTTGAAAATTAGTTTAAAACAAACTACAGTTTTTTTAAAAATTAAAATAGAAAAAAAAACTATAAAACTGCTTTTTTTTAAAATACAGTCAATGTAACTGTTTTGTCTATTATCCCCTTATCCCTAATTATAAGTACACCCATTTTCTCAAACACATTAGAGAATGCCCCGCAAAATATGGCAATCTATATAAACATAATATTTTTTTTCTAGTACTTTATTATTATAATAAAAACTAGTATACGTACCCGCGCGTTGCGCGGCTATATAGAACTTAAGATTAATTTAATTTCATGAAACATCAAATAGTTGAAATATTTTTACATATTTGATCTTTATTATATTTATGTTGTATTGATATATTAATATATTTTTCATATTAACAATTTATTAGTTAAAAATATTTCACATGAAATGTAAAATATCACAAGATTAAATGACATGTTAGCATATTTTGCATATATATTTTTTTTCAAATCCAAAAGATTCAAATTATTCTTTACATTCTTAAATTTGTGTCAAACGATAATAGAAAAGTAATTTAAAATAGAGTCAACATAAAATCATGTCATAATAATAGAAACATGTACATGATATATGCATTTTTTATTAATTATTGAAAATAATTAATTACAAATAGTGAGTAAGTTACTTTTAAACTTTCTAAAAAGAAAATAATAATTTAATTTTTTTTTTATCAATGATTAGATGTCGAGGAACTTATCAATTTTTCTAGTATTCTATTATAGTGATTACTGCGTAAATTCCTTTTATGACTATTATAAAATTTAGTATATATTATTTTAATACAACATGTAATATTTATTTATTATTTTCTTCAAATTGTTATTTTTGTTTAATCATAAAAAATCATACTTATATATTTTAATACAATGTGTAATATTTACTTACTATTTTCTTCCCCGTGTTATTTTCTTTAATCATAGATCAATAATACATACAACAATTTAATTTTTTATTAACATAAATACCTTTAGTAATAATTCTCATAATGTTCTATTAATAATAATGATTGAAATTATTTATGATTATTATTAAAGTTTGTACATAATTGAGATATAAATTGAGGTTACGTACAAATAAAAATATTTTTGAACAAACAAAAAAAATACATGCACTATTAGAGAGTACCTTCTAGTTATATAATTATCTTACAATTATGATAAACTCGGAAAAGTGTAACTATCTTCAAAAACTATAAATATTAAATTCAAATTTTGAACGTTTAATTAGTCAGTCTCAATTATTTAAAAAATTACAAATAATTTTATAATTTTAAAATAACTAACTTATCATTTTAAAAATAATTTTATAATTCCTAATTAAGTATTTAAAAATTTATATAAATTCTATATATTTTTAAAATGTCTGAATTCCATGTTATAATAAAAATAATCTTAATTTTGAGTTCGCTTTGATCTAATATTTTGAAACACGCTAATATTTATCTCGATCTCATATACAATGGTGCATATTCTCTTATTAATTAAATGGTAATTTCTAATTAACTAAATGACCTATTATTTATTTCAGTTTTGACAAAATAATTTCAAATTCTTTGATATCTTATAATATAAAAAGTCTTTTTTGTACATTTAATTTTTCGAATAGTTGTATATTCTATAGGTTTGAAGGCTCTAAATTTCAAAGACAAACCATTTTTTTAAAAGTATAAAATTATATTTTAAATAAAATTTAACTGAACAAATGAACAAAATTTTGTTCATATTTTAATATTTTATCACTCACACGTATGTTACTAAAAAGCTATAAGAAAGTGGAATAATATGCATAAATCATGATATTCTATATTTATCGATACATTATACTAATAATTCCATAGCAATTAAGATAATCAATTGCACATATTTAGCATTTTAAAAATGTGAATATATTACCAATAATTCAACAATCAATAACATGTTAGTGTAAATGATTGAATAAAATTAACAGAAAATGAAAAAAAAGAAGTATTAG